AGTAACCTCAGAGAGTTAGATGAAAAAAAACAAAAGTCTAGCTAAAAGAACTGAATAAATCCTTCCTGAACAAGATGAAAATTCTATCAGCCAAATCCATTCTTTCATATCTGAGTTTAAGTCATTTTCCATTCCCCACCCCCATCTTTCCCTGAGTTTTGAGGGCAAGGCATGCTTTCTACATAAAGAAAATGCCTTCACTTCAATGATTAGGATTCTATGTTCAACGTAGTTTTGTTTTTTGTTTTGCTTTGTTTTTTTTTATTGTTGTTGTTTGGCAGTGCTGGGGACTGAACCCAGGGCCCTGCACATGCTAGGCAAGCACACGACCACTGTACCCCATACTTGTTTTTAAGAATTTTGGGGGAAATCTTCAAATCCTCAGTCATTAAAACAGCCCTAAGCTTATACATTTTTCTAATGTGCTCAATATGGTTTTCAAAGTATGTTCCATTTTGTAGTGACAGAACACATCTGCCTCTGCATCTTCCCACTCCTGGGAATCCTAAGAACATCTCATGTCTTTATTTTTTAAAAGGAGTTTTAATGGTACATATTTATGGGGTACACTGAAATCATTCAGTGTATGTACATTGTGTAATGATCAGATTAGGGTAATTAGCATTTCCTTTCCTTAAACATTCATTTATCATTTGTTATGTTGAAAATCTTTAAACTTTTCTTCTCTAGTTCTTTGTAAAATACACAATGAATTGTTGTGAAGTATAACATTAGGACTTCTTCATCCTATGGCACTGTATTTTGGTATACTGATCCAACCTCCCTCTCCTCTCCGCCCTCTACTTTTCCTAGCCTCTAGTGACCACTATTCTGCTCTCTACTCTGAGAGGTATACTCTTCCAGGTATATCTCTACTGCTATGAGATCAATTTTTGTAGGTTCAACAAAGAAGTGAACAGTTTTGTAGGTTCGACATTTATCTTTTTGTGCCTTATTTCACTCAGCATAACATCCCCTAGTTCCATCCACATTTCCTAAAATGACAGGACTTTATTTTCTTTTTATGGTTTAATAATGTTCCATTGATTATGTGTACCACATTTTAACCACTCCCCATTGGGCATTAGGTATTGGATATGGAATTGATTCCATATGTTGGTTAGTGAAAATATCACATTTCTTGACTGGTAATTAAGATTTGGAAAGTACAACCTAATGGCCTGAGGATAAAGTGGAATCAACTAAAGCCAATCAAACAATACTGCTTCTGATTAATGAACAGTCTCCCTTAAAATGTTGTGCTCATTTTTAGAAATTTATAGTTTGCAAATTATTATTCTAAAAGATTTTTCTATACTGAAATTTATAGTATGAAGATTGAGATTTTGGGGCTGGGGACATGGTTCAAGCGGTAGCGCGCTAGCCTGGCATGCATGCGGCCCAGGTTTGATCCTCAGCACCACATACAAACAAGGATGTTGTGTCCACCAAAGACTAAAAAAGAATAAATATTTTAAAAAATTCTCTCTCTCTAAAAAAAAAAAAAAGATTGAGATTTTCTAAATGGTTGTCTCCTGTACAGTAAGGGATATTAGTTTGGAATATACAATGCCATCTTTATAGATGTGTTATAGTTTGAATCTCAAATGTCCCTGCAAAGGTTTGGTCCCCAGTGCAGCAATGCTCAGGTGAGACTTTGCAGAAGTGATTAGATAAGGCTTTGACCTCACTGATGGAGTAACACCTTCATGGGTTCATAATCGAGTAGACTATTGAGAGGTGGTGGAAACTATAGGATGTAAGGCCTCAATGGAGGACATAGTCACTGGGAGTGTGTCCTAGAAGGGTATATCTTGTGCCCAGCCCCCCCACTCCCCCACCATCTGCCTGCTGCCATGAGATGACACTTTCCTCCACCTTGCCCTTCCGCCATGATGCTCTGCCTCACATCAGGCCCAGGGCAATGGAGTTAGCTGACCATGGACTGTAGCTTCTGAAACCATGAGCCAAAAGAAATCTTTCCTCCTTGTGTTTTTTTTCAGGTATTTTTGTCACAGAGATGAAAAGTTGACTAACATAAGATGGAATCAAATTACAATTAAGGGGATAGTTTTGTATCTTTCTGAACTTATAATCTTGATCATCATAATCTTTAAAAACATTTAAGTTTTCTTGTCTATGGATGAGGAAAATATCTTCTGTACTCAAGTTAAAACTGTAAAAACATTTAAAGATGAAGAAAATCAAGAAAACTATAGCAATACTACTAACTAGTATTTACTAACCACTTTGGCCATTCGCAGTGCTAAATATGTTATTTGCATTGTTTTTTTTATGTTAGAGTGACAATACATATAAATTGAAGTGTGGTTTAACAGAAACTATTGATGCTTCTATTAGGAAAAATTCAGCCAGCATTCATTCACCTTAGCTTTCAAAGGTTGACTGGCTTTGCTTTTTCACAAATCTTTTCTTAACGAGATCAGTAGTGGTCCTTCATGAAATTGCTTACATAAAAATATAATTGTATATCAAAGATTTTTAGCCCCAAAGGAGCAGGACACCAATTTATATTGGCTTTACGTTCATTTCTCAGCTTTTGCACCATTTTTTAATAGCAGTCACAAACTGAAGGCCTTCAGCTAAAAGCATTTGTGAACTTGGGTATTTTTGCCTTTCACTTTTTAAAAATTTATTTGCTACTAATATTTAAAAGCTAGGAGTTTTGCCCTCCCTTCTTTCCTTTCTTCTTCTTCTGGTTTTAGTTCTTTTGTTTGTTTTGTTTTGTTTTGTACTGGGGATTAAACCCCAGGGTCAGTTTTACCGCTGAGCTACGTCCCTATCCCTTTGAGACAGGGTCTCACTAAGTTGCCTAGCCTGGAATCAAACTTGCAATCCTCTGACCTCAGCCTCTTTAGTAGTTGGGATTACAGTTGTCTCCACACCTGGCGAGAATTTTATTTTTGACATCCATATTTTCTTGAAAAAATATGACCAGACTGCCTTCGTCACTGTCTTCCATGCTCCCAACTGTCTCCATGCACTCAAGCTTGAGGCCAATAATTCTCCCTCATTCTACTCACACAGCAGTTTTTCATTCACCCTACACCCCTCAAATTAACCAGCCAGGTTCTTGGAGGTCTTTGAGTTTATAACTCCTGTCTTTAATTGTAGATATGATAATAGCAACTAAAACTTCACAGTGCTTAACAGGGCTAGACAATTTCCCAAGTATTTAAAATGCACTAACTCATTTAATCTTCAAAGTAACTGACAGGTGCCAGGCACGGTGGCTCATGCCTGTAATCCCAGCCGCTGGGGAGGCTGAGGCAAGAGGATCGCGAGTTCAAAGCCAGCCTCAGCAAAAGCAAGGCACTAAGCAGCTCAGTGAGACCCTGTCTCTAAATAAAATACAAAATAGGCCTGGGGATGTGGCTCAGTGGTCGAGTACTTCTGAGTTCAAACCTGAATTCAATTTCCAGTACTCCCCCAACCCCAACCCCAAAATCACAAAATAACAGGTGAACACAATCTGAATCCCCATTTCACAGTTTCAGAAGCTGAGACAGAAATGTGGACAACTTGCACAAGACCACACACTTGGTAGGAATGACTGTAGACAGAGGATAACTGGCTCAGAGTCTAAGCTTTCTTTTTCACATGGTAGCAGGCTTCCTCTAACTGATGTCTTTACAGTTAATCGCCTTTGGAAGTACCTAGTGGGTGCTGCTCTTTGAAACACCTAGGGAGTACACTTTAGATAGAGACTGGACCTTACTTAGTTAGCATTTTATTTAATGTCATGTTGGTTGAATAGACAAGTTGCCCTTTCTCTAAGGCTTTACTGCTATCTGCCAGAAAGCTGTGGATACAAAATGACAAATGAATGGTTCTGCATTTAAAGGCACCTCTAGAGCTGTCTACACAGCCATATGCAGTGGCCCTAGGCTTGAGAATGTCTTGCTATTTTTACAGTTAAGACTTACTTCATATTTGCATGCATATAAGATTAACCAAAAAAAAATGTTTTGCAATAATAAAGATCTATGAATCATACATGCAATTTTCTATGCAACTTGGACTTTTCATTATTAAGAATTATTTCATGATTAGGACAGAAAAATTTAGAGTGATGATATTAAACATTAATATCTCCAAATTCCAGGAGCTATTTCCCTCTGCCCAAGAACAAACTTGAAAACTCTGACAGCTGTTCGGTCTTCCACAGACATGATGCAATCACAAAAACTTCATCTTTGCCCAAGGAAAGCCCTTGGAATTGCATGGTCTTTCAGCATCCCCTCCCCTTCTTGTAACATAAAGCTTGAAAGAGATTTGCTCTACTAATTCTTTCATAGATATATTTAACCTAAGTATCAATTATACTGCTCTTATCCCAATATTAATAACAATGAGATAGGATTTGAATTCAGATTTGTTTGACTCCTAAATTCTGGTTTATTCTACCATTCTACAATGCCTCCTAAATACTAAATGCTAAATTAGTCTTGTAGCTGCTCAGCAAGTCTACTAAGCATTGAGAGCTATGCTGGACCATTTGCAGAACTGTTTGGGGCAGATAGTGATAAAGTACTGGAAGTGAGGACATCACACTCCTAGGAAGCAGAGAGCAAACCACATAATCAAATGGAACTACATTCTTGAAGTTAAATTCATTCTTTCCAAATGGGACGGACATCCAATTAAGAGTCCCAAAGATTTAGGAGATGATGATGAAAAGGAATCAATTGAGAGAACCCTTTGGAGAGGAAGGAAAAAGAAATATGAGAATTCTCAGTGGTTAAGTTCTTGAAGATGTTAAGAGAACTGTATCCACGCCAACTCATCATGTCTCACAATTTAAAAGTCTAACAGAGCAGAACTAGGAAGTTATTTGTTAAGTGGGGGGGGGGGACTCTTCCAAGTAAGCGAGCAGGGAGAGTATCAGAAATCCTAAATTAAAAGGAGTTACACTCAGTCCAGCCAAGAAGCAATAGAGCATGGCTGAACAGGGCTTGGGGAGATCTGTGTGAACTTACAGGACCGTGGTCTGCTGTGGTACCTGAGGAATGTGATCCAGCATCAAGTGCATGCAGCGGATGGTGCTCTTAAAGCAAAGGCACCGGCTGGGGCAGGGCAGCACCGGCAGACACCAGCTGGCCAGGAGGAAGCAAGTGGTCCAGCAGAGGAGTCTGGGCTCCATTGCTCCATCCGCGGCTGGACAGCAGCAGCTGCGGCAGCAATAGCAGTGGTGGTGGGGATAGTCGGGGCTGGGCTAAACCAGGCTTGGGAGCAGTGCCTGAAAGCAGCTCCCAGGGAAGAGGCACCCCCTGGCCAATCCAGAAGGAAAGAGATCACATTACGACGCTGAAGGCAGGGGGCGGCTCTAAGCAGAAATCAGACTCCCAAGGACAAGGGGGACTTGTGAGTGCAAGAGGCTCTGTAGGCAGTGTGATGCAAATAAAAACTTTTCCAAAGTTGCTTCCACTGCATTTTTTATGTAAGCCCCAGCCTCTTAGCCCCTAGCTGTACTTTTGAAGTTCAAGTTGATTAATTATTTATTGAATCCAGGCAGAACAGTTTTCCTTCTTTTTATCTGATAACATTACCAAATCCTAAAAGGGCAGGCAGTTCTAATGAGTTGATCTAGGTGCACGAATTCCTACCTTACTGCAAACAGTGCTCTGAAAAACATGGTTTCCCTCCTTTTTCTATATTCTACCCCTAAACCCAACACATTTCACTCACGTAAGATTCAAACTGCCTACTTCAGATTTCTTCAATATTTAATGTTTAAAATTGTATGTTTGAAACCATGATCTTGTATACAGACAACTGGTGGACAAACGTGTAACTATGTAAAGTAGTGCAGGTGCTGGCTGGAGAATGGCTTGTCATTGTCATGCATTTCCAGGAAGTGAGTGGGCCCCTCTTTGAGGATGTCTGGAAGAACAGGATTGATAGTTAAACACTTATACTCTGGGCATTCTGTTAAGCAGATATTAAAAAGGAGTGGGGGGAGTCTTGATTTGATTTTATCTTTAAAGAATTAAAGTTTTCCAACAAATCTCTTTTTAAGAATAGAAATACAAATTAAAACTTGTATGGTCAAACCCAGGTGATCAGACTGGGAATCCAATATAGTAAATGCAGAGTTCTGTCGAGTCTTATCAGTTTTAAGAGGAAAAAATAAATGCATCCTTCCACAATAGTCTTTTCAGGCTGTGTACATTCTACTGTAGGTGAATACTGCCCTCTTTTGGCAAAATGTTCACATCTACATGTGTGATGTTTGGGGGCTTAAAATACAAAAAGACTGAAAGAACCAAACTAATCTATGTGAACAGGATGACTTTTAAATAAACCTTAAGTATGCTTGGCATTTTTCATGTGTTTTATTGTCAAAGTATATCAAAAATTTTTTAAAAAAGCAAATTCCTTTCAACTGTACTCATACAATTACTACGAGAACAATTACTACTTGTCAGTGTTGGATTTGGAAAATGTGAACCAGATGGCAGGTTAGTGCCTTACAATTTCAGCTCAAAAATATAATAAACATTATCTGTACTCAAAAGGTCTTCTTCCAGAAGGATAGATTAAAATCTTTCTAATTTAGAAGCCTATGTTAACATTGAACTGGGGGGAAAAGAACACTGATTACTGACTTTGAGTACAGGGCTTCGGAAGGGTAAGAACAAGCATCACACCATTACATGGCCCTTCAGATAGTACCTTAGGACAACTCTCACCAAAAACAACTAAATGTGTTAGATAAAATATTTAACACGTTTTTGAAAATGCATTTATGTGTCATGATTTAGTTAGCAAGGTGTTTACAAAAGTCCAAAAATGAAGTGAAATGGGAAGCCCATAAGGCTAAGTAAACACTGAAGGCTGGTTCAGTTTGAGGTTATTTGCATAACTAAGTGAAATTAACTTTGGGACTGGAATAGGAGAGGTACTAGGATAGAAACCCCTCTACTAAGCAGGGAGTCTCACCTGGAAAAATCTGTATAGCCCCAGAGCTCTATCTTAAAAATAAACTGGGAACACTTCCCACCCTTGGCCTTGCCCACCCACCTACTCACCCTGACAACACAAGAAAAACTGCCTATTTCAAGGCTTGACAGTGGGGAGGCAGCAAGTAAAATCTCCCTGGAGCTGTCATAACTCCAAAGTAGCCTTCTAGTGCAGTTCTAGATCATCCACTCCACCTGAGTGGTCCAGAAGACCTAACTAAGAATGTAAAGAGTCCCATGGTCAAAGCTGTACAACACAAACTCAGTCAAAACCCACAAACTACAAAAGTTGTAAGTGCTAACCATGGAAACATCATGAGCAGAATTTACACCTGGAATCACACAAGGAATACAAAATAATTAAGTTCCATATGTTTACGTAAGGAGACAAATAGATGAGGATGGTGGGTACATGAGATGAAGAGGATAATCCAATGAAATGAGCCTATTGTACTGACTCCCCACATGCTTACTTTGCCAAAAAGCAATCTGCCTGCAGGCCTTCTGTCCTGGGTGGACAGGAAATATCACATTTCTCAACAGACTGAGGCAAGCAGCTGAAGGTCTGGCAGTCAATGTAGGTAATGAATGATGGGGGTTGAGAAGAGGAGGGCTGGTTATCAAAGAAAAGAGAATGAGTTGCTAATAGCTAACCTTTTCCCTGCACAAGGAATTGCTAAGGATTACCCCAAGCTGCTCCTTCTGGTCTTAGACAAGTACAGAGAAGAAAAGGTGGGAGGTTTGGGAGTCTATAAAAGAGCAAGACACACTCATTCCTGAGTGCAACCACCTCTGGGCCCTCTTCTCTCCAAAGAAGTCTGCTATCCCTGCATTTCTCTCTTTTTAAATGAAACTTACTTTCTATGCGTTTCTTGGGTGTTTAATCTTCAAAACCAGGGGAATGAAGACCAATTCCTGACTGGTATCATTTAGAGAACTGAACACATTAATAAAAACAACCCAGCTGATCTTTAAAAAAAAGCAGAACTAGAAAACAAAACAGATAGTAAAACTCACTTAAAGGGTTTACCAGCAAATTTCAAACAACCTTAAAAGAGAATTGGTGCCAGGTATTGTGTACACAATCATAATCCCAGGGATCCAGGAAGCTGAGGCAGGAGGATTACAAATTCAGACAACTTGGTGAGGCCCTAAGCAACCTAGTGAGACTCTCTCTTAAAATAAAAAATAAAAAAAGGTTAGGGATATGGCTTACTGGTAAAGTGGCCCTGGGTTCAATCCCTCATGCCAAAAATACATAAATACATAAAAGAGAACTGATGATCCATGAATATATCTGAAGAAATGATCTAAAATTCAACGCAGAGAGGAAATGTCAAGATAGTATTTGTAAGGGGGAAAAAAGGTAGCCAAGAATCTCCAGAATTGACAAAAGAGAACAACTCAACACAGCTACAAGACATGTAAATAGCAGGTAGGAAAAATGAAAAGATTCACACGCAGGCACATTATATGAAACTACAAAGGATTAACGATGCAAAGACAAGAATGTTAAGACATCTTTAAAGCAGATACACATGACAGATGACCCCAAAAAGGAAAGACCATCAGTTGACTTAATAACTACAGTGGAAGACAAAATATAGAGAAATCACAAATCCTTTAGAGGAAATGCTGCCAATCTAAAATCTTAAACAATGGACATAGTTTTTAAATGATTTTTTTTTCTGTCAGACAAAACTAAGAGTTTGCAACCATAGTCCTTTGCTAACAGAAACTCAAAAGGTCATACCTTGGGAAAAGGAAATTAGGATGGTCTAAGAGGAGGGAAGAAATAATGAGCAAAAACAGGTGCAAATGGGAGTATATCTAATCTAACATTGGTTAGATAAACAGTAGCAATGGTATGCTATACAGCTTCACATTTTAGAAGTAAAACATGCCAGCACATCATTTTGAGGTGATGACCTCAGAGTTAGTGTCCTATTATTTAAGGTGATTAAATTAAGTGAATGCATTAAAATGTTGTGTAATCACTAATAGCAGGAGGGAAAGTATAACTTCAAAATAAAAATAGAAAAAAAATGAAGAAATAATAATCCAAAGAATATAGAAAAGAAATATAGTAGGCATATAGCTCAATAATTCATTTGATAGTGATATTTAAAGTGAATGTCAATAGAAAGCATCAAGTAAGATTGTACAAATAAATTTTTAAGAAATTCAGCTATCTCTTGTTTATATGAAACATCATCTAAAACATAAGCAACAACAAAAGCTGAAAATAAAATAGTGTACTAGGTATCATTTTGCTATGCCAAGTAGGCACACGCACAAAAACGTACTTAAGTCATATTAGATTTGAACAATACAATTTAAAAATGCACTCAATTGACATTAATAGAACATGACAGTGGGCTGGGTATGTGGCTCAGTAGTGGAGTGTTTGCCTGGCATGCATGAAGTTGAGGGTTTGATCACCAGCACCACAAAAAAACAAAAACCACGACAAAAAAATGACACTGAAAAATTGAAGTACATTTTTAGACCCATCAAGCCATTTATATTAAAAAATTACCATAAGGTTAATAAAACAAGAAATAAGGTTGTTCTTGTTTAAGACATCTATTTAGCACTGTCCTGAAAGTCCCAAACACATCAGGTAAAATAAAAAATCCGCCCCCCCAAAAAAAAACAACACAAAACTGTCTAAAATTTAAAGATATGAGTCTCTGTGTAGAAAACCTAGAAAAGTCACGAGACAAGGATATAAATATTGTACAAAAATCAATAAAAAGTCTAAAATACCATTTTAATAAACAGAACACAAGAATAGCAATAAACCTAACAAAAGACGACAGACCTTAGAGCCTTGGCTCTAAGACCCCAAAGGAATACCATATTCATGTATTCATATCATAAGCTTGGCAAGAGGGGCACAATCTGACCTTTAAATTCAATATTATTCCAAGGTAATCCCAAAAATGTTGTGTATATGTGTAATCTGAAAAGCTGTTCATAAAATTACATGAAAGTCTACTGGTTCAAGAATAACCGAGAAATGCCTGGAACATAAGTTGAAGAGACTTAGCTTAGTATATCAAGAATTAGGGTAAATCTATAGTAAATAAAACTGTGTGGTTTAGCAGAGGGATATATAAACTAATAAAATAAAAAAGAAAGCTATATACGAGCACAAATACATGAAAACTTAATTTGTGATCAAGTTACCACTGTAGATCACAGGAGAGGAAAAAGTCTTTAAAAATTGGTCATGAAACAATTGATCAAACAAGTGAAAAAAATAATAATCAAACTGGACCATATTTCTGACCAAAGATCAATATCCCAGGTATATTGTGGATTCAAATGTGAAAGGAAAAAAAATCATAAAAACTTCTGCAAGAAAATATATAATATTTTCACGATCTTTGTATTGAAGGTGTAAAAGATGA